AGTCGATATCTTTGCTCCTACAAGACCTCATAGTTGAGTGAAGACAACATCTAAGAATAACCCCTTGTCAAGATGCGACGCTAACGTTGTTTGTTTCAAATTGAAAAAAAACGCAGAGCCATTAATATTTTTTTAGGCATTCCTGCATGATTCCAGCTTCCGTCACAACATCACTACGAGGCGTGCAATTTGCAAAAATTAAAAAGGCTAATCGTATCGACCTTGTATAATACCCTACCACGACCGTCGTAATCATTTCCCGACCGATATGCTTTCTGAGCATGCTACTATTTGTATTTTGTACGATGCAACCTTAAAAGCCGACACAGGAGGAGAAAGTACAGGCTCAACAAAGGGGTTTTAACCTGTATTGCCAGACTATGTCCAGTTCAGCTATGTCCCCTCATCTGAGTCAGCTGCGCTTAATAAAACAAGCCACTGGACTGTGCCGCGCAAAAAATGCTACCAACGGTGAAAGTAGTCGCGCTAACAGTTACTCCTGGTCTTGATCGTTTCGCAGCAACTGAATGGCATTGGAAGGGCGGGGTGGCCGACAGGAAAGGTTGGAGGAGCAACAACAAAAAAAATAAATTAAATCAAGCTTATACAAATCATTACATTCCATTTCCACGCAACGAACAAGTAGACCCAAGGCCTTACGTAGTCCAAGTAGACCGAAGGCTTACGTAGGAAGATCAGCAAACATGCGTTCGCCTATCAGCTATCGGTGTGGTTGACAGTTGAGATACGATAGAACAGATGGTCGTTTGTCCAATCGGTCATTGTGCGTATGGGCTCACGGTTGAGGCCTAAGTGGCCGCTCTATACTCTGCGGGACTGGTTACGACGACTACCGTACAACAGACAGTGCACAAAATATAGTAAGAGCTTTTGACAATAGCGCTAAAATTGGCTAACGGTAAGCATAGATCAAGAACAACTACCCCTTTAAGTTTAAGTCATTTTAATAAAAGCACTATTACATCAGAACACCAGGTTACCATGTTACGTACTATGCAGCCAGGCTCTATAGCTTACTCAGTGCATCTGTTACCTTGAACTACACGTTAACACCAGTGGAAACCATGCAATATAATGCAAATAACAAATGGCGACATCTTTTCTAACAAACGTTATCTCGTGAAGAAGTGCACTTTGAAATTCACTTAAAACCTACTCGTTGACCTAGTTTACTATGGCTGTTCTTATTAAAGACATTCTCCACAGATCTAACGTCGCGACTAATCACGAAACAGACAGACTGGTCTATTCGTTTTTTTTGTTTGTTTCTAAAATAGAGGAAAATGAAATAGTCTTCGTTTTCCATTTAGTAATTCAAGCTGCGCAGGGCTGTGATTCTGTTCCTGAAGAGCTGTCCTAATTCTGCCTTTCTATTTAGTGTGCGTACGCCGCAGTAGAAGTAACAGATATTCATTGTTCATTTCAAGATTTTGTTTGACTGGAGCCGCCGTTTGACCGTAGCAGAACCGCCCTTCCCACCTCCATCCCCTTCAAGGTTACACTCGTATGTTTTTTTATGATCTCCTTTGTTTCCTGAGGACACTAACGCCCTCATTCGTCTCTAGGGTAGTACGGGCCTGTCGTCCTGGATGAGTTCTGCCAGTCCGCCACTGAGGGCGCCACCTTCTCTGACTATATGGAAGCCGGCACGACACGTTCGCTGACTCCTGTTGTTTGGACAACCAACAAACAATGGCTGGCCATCGTTGTCGCTTACCTGTGACCGTACTGAAATTAGAGAATTGAAGCAGTTGAAGACCCAAAATAGGCAAGCCGATCTCTTTTTGTAGTTGAGAACAAAAGGAATACCCCTATCTATATATAGAAGCAGAAGAACGACTTGAAGCATTTCTTGTGTGTACATTCACAGGCGATCCATCTTCTTTTTTTTTTTTTTTTTTATAAACAAGCTTACAAATGAAGATATAATAAAAAATACAGAACATCTAAATTATTTCTGCAAATTGCTGATACGCGGGCAAACAACTCATTAATTCTATGTGTCGATTGTGGAAAGACTGTATTTATGTATGTCTTTGCGTTATATTTATATTATTTTTTAAAGTACGTAGCATGAGAGTGCATATTACTGTAAGTACTGTTTGCGATAATCGCCTACCTTTGGGGTGCCCCTCAATCTGTATCCAGAGATTATCTTAAACGTTACCTTAAGTTACACAAACCCTCTGGCTTGAATATATCGCATAGAGGGAGCAATATGTTGGTTATTTTAAGAACCAGAATTACTTAGTAGGGCAGAGTGATCGAAAATGATACGACTGAAGGCTTGTATTAGCAATGGCGCGTCTACCTTAATATGAAAAATACCCTATTTTTGCCACCCTGCAATAGAGTCTATGGTGATGGGGTCGTTTTAGGCTTATTTCGACAGTTAAAAGGATATCGCTAGTACATAACGACACAATAAAAATGATCCGGTCTTTCATTAATCCTACCGTTAAGTGTCCGTGGTTCGCAGCTCTTGACTGTGCGTCTAACGGACGTGGACACTTAAGTATTCACACAATTTCGCTACTTGTGATATAGTAATGACTTTAGTGACCTGAGAGGGTTCACCATTTAGATTCCTATGTTACCAGAAATAGTTTAGGATCGAAAGGACTGTCAATCTAAATTGGCTGTATGACGCCATTATTAGCCGCCGTTATTGAGGATTTTCATAGCAGTGAAGGCCGTGCAGAGCACTTGCGACGCGGCTCGTATTTTGGTCCTGACATAAACATTTTCGTCCTACTCAACGTTCTCATCGGCGTACGGAGTTCATCGAGCAACAGGCCAATGGTACGGCTGTTAAATAACGACGGCACGCTACGACTGATTAGAGTCGAATCAAAAGAGAACGGGTAATCATTAAAAAGGACATACCTAACTAGCTAGAACTAAGACCTAATGGTTAGCTAGGTGACCATCCCTTCGATGTAATCGTAGACCGATTTCCCAATAACTGCTATTATGTATTGCAGAGACTGACAACGCCGTGTCGTCTTGTGTTTAGCGCGCCATGGTCATTTATATTCATGCTAAACCATACGTCGAGAAAGGGCTCTCTGAACGTACCTACTGCCAAGGCTGAACGGCACGAAGAATATGTTAATCTAATACGATAGAATTAGACTACCATGGCAATGTGACATAAAACGTGTGTATTTACATAAAGGGTTAACGCGTAATAGGTGCCCACCTGGCCTCTGAACGCATTCAATCGATATCGCTGCATATAAGGCGTCACCGAGTTCACGGGTAAAACGATTACGGAGATACCGTTTCCTCGGAATATGATCCGTAAAGGCCTCATATCTTAATCAAGGTAAGATTTGATCCGACTGAACAAAAGCATGCCGTTTGATGCTAATGCTATAATTGCCTCAATGGCTCAGGACAGCGTCCGGACTATCAGAACAGGCCGACACAGTCGCTGAATGACGATCAAAATAGTTTACCTATCGCCGTTGTCCGACTGCACTCACAGACGCTGAGGTGTTTATCCTGTCATTGCGCTTCATCTTGATGCCCTTCTGTTTAGCAATCACGCCCATACCGGAATTATCTCTACATCTATTCCTCCGGCATTTTTAACTACAACGGTGCAACCAAATTTTGTGGACATGCTGTTATGTTTCCAATCATGCCTTAAACTCTTGCCGTTTCCTCATTGCAGTCAGGAAATCGTTATAAAAATCGAGTGAATTGCTAACCACGTAACCCGCATAGATGGCTTTCATATTTTGTATATCTGTTCGATCATCTTGTGTTACGTAAAAAATTCGTTTAGTAAAATCTTATCGTCCTGCTACTTGTGATGTGGACGGATTGCCCGCTGTAAAAATTTTAACGCCACATTCGTTACCTGTTTTAGAGGGATGTTTCTTTAGAAGGATGATTTTCTGTATACTACGATCCTCCCACCAACACTACGTGTGTGGTACTCTGACCGAACAGACTTCGATGGAGTCGCTGCACCCTGTGACCTATTCGCTGATACTATAAATTTATTAGACATCTGTTGTTGTCGCCCTACAGTTGCTATAGGGAAATCTAGGACTATAGTTTATCGACATCGTTGAGCGTTGACGTTGAAAGCACTAGGAGAGGTTGTTATGTAGCGGTGTCTATTGTATTTCGTGTTAGTTGGTTCTTCTTTGTCTTTCATTGACAAACGCATTCAACTGTTCCTATACCTTCACAACGTCAACGGGCGTAACGTATGTAGCAGACAATCAGCGAGCTAGTCGTGACCCCATTAGGGTATCGAACACTGGCAGTCCTTGTTGTGTAGCTATAAAGCTGAAAATACATAAAGCTCCCAGATTTTAGTTTTCTGTGACGACGCAGGGATCTCAACTAGCGGGGGTCTCAGCTGAACCAGCATTCAAGAGCACGCACACTATAAGTAGTTGATCTCGTATTCCATTACACAAAGCACAGGTATCTCCCTCTAGAGTCCAGTCGAGGACCCGACTGTAAAAGCTTTTAACTGCACGTTTGCATCTACTCTTTATTCAGTGTCATGCTTAATATCACTATGATTTCAACGTACGACCTGTAACAAGTGTTCATTATATTTTGACCGATCCGGTTCGACGCCAGAAATGTACGTTTTTTGTAAAAACTATCATTAACTCCGGTAGACTCAAGTGATAGAACATTGCTAAGGCAGGTGGCCTAAGTTTTTCGCGTTTCCCTTCATTGTGCCTTGTTGAAATGATTTATGTGTAGTGTTTACAAGACGGTCCTCGACGACGACCTCGTTTGTCATTTTACCTTTACCATTGCATGCTACATAGGTCTATTCACCACACACACACCTCTCCCGCAACTCTCGTGGCATAACATGTTGGCTATCTCAACCTCGATCATCGCTATAATCTAACTAAGACATATCCTTTTTTGCCACGCACAGCATGTCTCATGTGTACTCAGTTTTTGAAAAAAAAAGATTGCTAAGGGACAACGCAATATCAGTTGTCATTCTCTCGGCTATACAACACATTTTTATTAAAGTAGTATTTACATCTTTACATTGCTTTTAAAACGTTCTATTTTTTAACTCTAATAACCGGGTCGGCTAAAGGACCCAGAAACTGACGTATTACATTGCTCTTTTTTTTTGGCAATTAACACTATATAGCAACGCGTCTATATGGCTCGCTTCGACTTGGGTCCTGCCGACGCTATTGAACATGCACGTGTATGCTGTGCGCAAATTAAAATTGACTCATCCTGCTGAACCTCTCCTTTTGTGTAGTTCGTTATACACTTGACCTTCCGTCTGTACAGATCTCGCGAACGGTGGCTTTCAATAGCAGCAGCGGCGGCGGGATGAATAACATCACTATAGTTGGCCCCAACCAATCGCAATCAAGAACTCTACCCCTCTACAGCTTTTCTCCCCCTGCTAACATCATCATCATTTTCTACCTTCTACGTTTTTCTTGCGTACACACGGGAATCATCGTGCCCCTTTCTATGATTTGACTCTTCAATATTTCCTTGTTAACACGATAATAAATCTCTTGATTGAATACTATTTTTTCTTCTGTTGTTTTTTTTATTAGTCGCTCCTCTTCGTCATTTTCTCTTTTCAGCTACTAGAACATTTCTATGTCGGTAACGACTGTTTTATTTCTCCATAGCACGTCCACTCTTGTGATCATTACCAGTTGGTCGGCCATGAAATTTACACCTGTGCGAATCTGATCTATGCAGCTAACGATTCGTACAACTTAAAGAGATACACCATACCGCATCACACACTATTGTCTATAACCAAAGTAGCTCCTCTCAGCGAACTCTTGCTCGTATTGTACCATCTCATCGAAAAGCCATCGCGAGCTGAACTTAGTACCGGAACCGCTATATTCTTCTGGCAGGCATTCCGGATCGATCGTCTTACTCAAGTCCGCAACACATTTGTGCACGAAGAAACGGCTGCGGAGTTTATCCGTTAAGAGGAACTTGATGAGACAGAGCACGTAATGGAACACCGATGGTACATTGATGAAGTGAATCGCCTTGATCTTGACAGGCAGTGCACCTTTCAGAATCGACGTGTACGCCTAATAAGTTAAAGGGAAAAGTAGATAAGAAGACAGAGATCAGCGTTTGAAGATAAAAGGAGCTGTCAATACGCCACAACTGAACGTCTTTCGGAATGCGGAAGTATTCGTAGATCAGTGCAAACCAGTTAAGGAAAAACAAAACTCTCTTAGCTTGTATGTGTGTGTAAAGGTATTATATAAGAGGTATTAAAACGGCCTCCTCATATGATGACACTAATGTGATAGGCGGGTATCTTATAGAGGTTTCCTTGACCGAGCGAGCCGTTCAACTCTATTGGAGATTGCTTGCCGCAGGGCAACGACGGGCCAAGCAAAGGCGGCATTGAGTAAGGGATAGCAAAAACAGGGAGAATACGTAGTGGCGAGTAGGGCAAATGATGTACAAGAGTCTATGTCACTTCTGCTCTTTGTTCTCCTCGTTGCGCCGCGGGCTAGCGATATTTACCCTAACGACACGCAGATCGCAATAAGGGATGTGACGGGCCTCGAATCCTGATAAATCCATGATCAACGTCCAGCCCTCATCGGCGTCCAACTTAGCCTTTTTATACAAGAAGTATTCCGCCATGTAGAGGCCCCATGTAAGGTAGTCGGCTAAGACATATTTCTCCTCCTCAGGTACCCAGTCTCCTTTACGCCATGCTGAAATAAAATAAGGTCAGCGTTGACAAAATTTCTGTGATTAGAAATATTCCGTTTAGATTATTTATTACTCTGCTGATAACCTCCTCAGTAAATAAATGTCACAATTAAATAAACGAGATTAGCGCCACTGGGAGCTTAGATAGAAAAAGTAGAAAGTTCCTTTTACCACCGGAAAAAAATGTAGGCCGCTTGAGTGGCCTTAAATAACACTTGCATCTAAGGTATTCTAAGGTGTGTCGGAAAAAATCAAATCGCTTTGCTTGTAGTAGCACTGCCCGTACCCTCTTCGTCCTGCTGCACACAAAGATACAAATTTGTCTATGAAACCAGCTTGTTCCACAAAACTTGAAAAAGCAAAATCAGCGTTTTCTGCTTACCAAATACCCAGCTGCCGTCAACTTTGTTCCGGATCGGGAACACGGTACAGTTGTTTAATGCCACATAATCTTCCATCCACTTGACACCTTTTCCCCGTGGCCAGATCTTATCCGGAAACTCTTTACGGAGCTTGTAGTACTTTTGTACGCTGACGAAGGCCGCGTCTACGTCGAATTTTTTGTGCCGTAGAAAGCACAGGAGAAACGCGTCGTCCGTTTGGCAATGGATTTTATGGTCAATACCATCGAGCTTAATACGTAACTCAGTAAGCGCGCCCTCGTGTTTCGCAAGCGTCATTTCGAGGTTTGGGTCCTGGTCCAGCTGTAAACTAAAGGCCGAGTCTTGAGATTTGAAAAAGACGTACACAGATCAGTCAGTATATTTCCTATGATCATTGCTATTGCGTAATTTAATCTACGATTTTAGACCGCGACTCACTAAAATGTTGAGTACGAGATTAATGCAATATTGCCAGATACTGTCATTCAACTGAGAAGTAAGAGTTCTGATGATTTGTTTATTACATGGTGTGCTAAAAATAGCAACCTATAATAAACTGTTATTCAACAAGCATAAAAGTTGTACTTAGTTACAAACAAAACATTAGCGCAGAAAGATATCCACGGCCTGCGAAGGTTAACACAGACGGAACTAATTATTGTTTTAGCTAAAACTAACTTAAAAACACACGTATCTGGCTGATGATAAAGGTTCAAAATAGGTTGCATTTTTTATTACACCTTCTATTGCCAAATGAAGTTCTTTTAATTTTAAGGTATTCGGAACGTAATACAATCCGTCATAAGCTCTATACTTATTGTTTACCTAATTATAATAGTATGAGCAATAATCACGCTAACTTTAGCTTGCAATATAGAATTTCGTTCAGTAGAGTTTTTCGTGGAGTATTAAATACATCGCGTTAGATATTCAATAACAATGCTTAACATAACACACCCATTACGGTCAGGACTTACCAAAAAGGCACTTTAATTGTTCTATAGCATTTCAATACGTTAAAACTCTCTGGGGCATTGACGGGCGGGGAAAAGAAGTGGAACGCGTAAGAGACAATCGTTTTTTTTTCGTCATCAATAATGGCTTGCTTATGCTTATTAAACCGTGCCTTTTACATGAGCTGACTACTCGACGCGGAGAGAAGAAGCATCGCCTGGCCCATAGTCTTTGACCTAACCTAATCAGCAATTCCTGTATTCTTGTTAAACTGTGAAACTTGCGTAGCTAATGGACTCCTGGCCGGCTGACTGGTAAACTACAATTGCTATCATATCAAATGCGATCACAAGATTATCAATTGCAATTAATTAGGTTCCTTCCGCCATTCAGTGGCCTTCACCGTTTGCCTCCTTGAGTAAAACAGAGTGCAGAGGAAAAGCCCGACGCAATGCTCAAACTGGAGAGACCGGTAATCGAGATACAACATTTTTCCTCCTTTTCACAAGCATCTATGGGTTCACATCTCTTTCTCATCTATTTGTGGTTAGATAGAAGCAGGCAGGACCAGTGCAAGGTCCGGCACGACAACACGCCCGGCCTAACACGAATCAGCTGAGAGCTAGGAAAGCATAGAAGCTAAATGTGCTGTTTTTGTATCTGGAAACTAGACCTAGGTCACGAAACAAAGCATAGGTCTACGCTGGAGTAAGCACAATTAGCTCTCCTACCCTTTAATAGCATAATGGCGGTTTACCTTACGAGCAATATTGTAACGTAGAAACCACTTTGACGAGGCAGCGTTCAAACGTTTGTCACAACGTTTGACAAATGATACTTCGTATTTGACGGTCATTTCATACCGGTGCTTGAAACAGCAGCTGGGCCAGCAAGAGCAGTGTAAATTATTGTGTTTGTTTGTTTGTTCTGTTCAGGTTCGATGCGCGCAAGCAGTGAGCCTAATCGATGCCAGGTAGTCATGATAGGGAAATATCGATATCTCAGTAAGCCAATTGATATGTTCCTGTTCTATCTGCTTGCGATGCATCTTGCGTTTGGCATCGGCCGGTGCATTATCTTACCAGCGAGGCTGGTAAAACTAGACAAATAACTAAACGAGCAAACTGAAAGTATACTGCTTTGTTACTACGACGTATACTTACTTACCCAGCGACGACGGTCCATTGAAATCCTGCGAAGCATCGCAGAACTCTGAATCGCTGAGTAATTCTGTATCCATATTTGCTATACATTCACCAGCAGCGCTGTATGTACTATTGTTATCAGGGCTGGCGTCACCACTTCGGTCAACTGCAGCCAACTCGTTTCTCGAGTGTTAAGGAGAGGTTTGAGATAATGAGATAAAATACACGTACCGAGCAAGGCACATGGGAGCACTCGTCATCCAGCTAATAACCGTTACAGGGGAGGCAAGTGCTCGATTATGATTTTTATCTTCTTGTTCTGTTCTCCTTTCTTTTTACCTTTTTGAAATAATTACATCTTTACGTCGAGCTATTAACAGTAATAGTATTTTGCCTACGGGTTCACATGAACGGCTGCACATCACTATGATGTATTCTGATAGGACTATTCTATTTACTGCAGTTTGCCATCACTTGACTAAACTCAACAGCTAACGCGCTATTTTGATGTTGTCATTGTTACTATCTACGATAATGCGAGTCGTACGCCTTCGACGCGTCTTGGCTTTTTCCCTTCTCAAATTGATGACGAAAAAGATATTGCCCCAACAAGCAGTCGTTGCAGTTTTCGATTGTCCGCGAGTCTGATAACTAGTGTCTTTATGGCAAAACTTGTGCTGGATCTTCCTACGACACGCAGAAGGCCAAGATTACATCTAAGCGTCGTAAATCTTCTGCTGCTGTTGTAGCTGCCGCTTAATTTTCCATTTTTGTTATGCAACAAATAAATGCACAATGGAGAGAGAAAACATCTGCATTGGTAGTCCGAATTACCGCGAATGAGGGCCGGTCAAGTGTACAGCGCGGTCTGTGGCGTCACGATATGAAACTCAAATGTCAGTTTTCGTCAGTGAAGAACACGTCCGCTGCGTGTGTTCGTTATTCTTCGAACAAGCTTGAATTGATGGGCTAAGTTGATCACCAATCGTAAACAACACTCGGTGCGTTTGACGAATTGACTTATCGTCTCTTTCCGAGGACGACAACGGGTCCTTTAAGAGTCAACGAATCCGACAATCAACAGGCCACTGCTGCTTTTGCAGCTAGTACTATTGCTGCCGCAGCTGCTGAAGCAATCAACTGCCAGCCAGGTCTATTTCAAGCTGGCCTGATTAGGTCCGATCGATCTTGGACAAAGCAAGTTGCCACCGTTGAACTTATTGCGTCATCAACGCCGCAGCGTTCACAAGTACCGCCGCGCGTTGAAGCGATTAAGACCGCTATTAGTTGCTACTGTGTTACCATACAATGTCTGCACTATGGCTTTCGTCACATTTGCCACACTGATAAAGATTGGCGAAAGATTGCTAAGAGACTAACGGACGGGCAAGCAAAGAGCTGTTATTTTGCTGCCACTTTTTCGATCTGTGTGGGCCGGGTAGGAAGGCCCGTCTAGTTAGTCCACTTGCGTGTCAGTAGTTCGATGTTGAGTTTAAGGTCATCGCTTCTTGAGTTCGAGGTGTTGCTCCCTAGACCATTGGGAGTAAAGTGTAGTTAGCTTAGTCGACAGGCGAGGGTCCATACCGCACCTTGAGGGGGAGGGCAGGAGAGGTCGACAAAAGGACTTTTACCCTTTCCTTTTTCCCAAGGCTCCAAAGAAAGAGGCCCCTCGGACCTATCCCGAGAGCAGTATACGTCCTTTTTTCGAGACATGCGGAACGTGTCGAGCGCACGTCCTCGATATGACGAGAAGCCTATGAATCTTGTGCAAGAAGGGCTTACCTTAGTGCCACGGATAGTGGTCGGCCGCAATCGTACTAAATCATGCAACTAGCCAATGTCGTTGAGAGTATAAAGGGCGTTCACTTACCTTGAGTTCGACGTTGACTGGCATAGGCAGAGGCACCAGCAAGAATTTAAAGCAAACGGGTCTGAACTCTCACTCAATGATTGATACATTTGGCGCGGAGAGTGAGACCAATCAGATGCGATCTATAAATAGCTTCACGATAATCGAATAAGATCTAGGTTAATCTCAAGCGATTCTGTGATCTCTATGATAATTGGATGAAGTGACCCTTCGGTCAGTTATTTTGTCCATGAAAGAAGCGCCCGAAAAGCTTTTTGGATCTGGGGATCTAATAGAATTCAGCGTGCAGACAAATTTTAAGCGGTACTACATCTGTAATGCAGCAAGTGCCGACGGCAGAAAGCGACCCCTAGCTCTTTCAAGAAAACGTCAGTCATCATTAGTTAAGCAAAGTTTAACGGACCGTTTACACATGCATTTAAAAGACGTTTATTGTCAAAGCCCAAGGCAGATGTGCTTTATTTCTGATCTTGCCACGAGTATGTAAAAAATTATAGCATAGCAGATATTTGTTATGAATTAGATTTGAAAATTTCATTTACGTAAAAAATCTGAGGTAATACATGCATCTCAGTGTATGTGCTCAAAAACAGATTTCATCAGGTACCCTTTGGACTTCTGCGAATCGTGTATTAGCTTTGCCTTTATCTAAGGAAAACGAGAAAGCGAGTTGAGCACAATCTACAGCTCCCGCACCTAACCTAATATATTGAAGTTCACTGGAAACTGACTCATGTTTTTCAAGAGGTCGACTAAAACCTATGGAATTTTACTTCAGCTTGAAGAAACAATGTTATTCATAGCGTTTGAAAATAGAACTCAACTCCTGCCCAATTTTGACTTATACATTTTAATAATGTCGATGAGTCGAGACCATTCAAAGTTAGCAAAAAAGACAATTCCGCTGGTTGAACAGTCTAAATTGTTTCTTGTGATTTCTAAATCGAGCCATACTATGTTTATTCCATTACATTAAAAATAATGGCTTCTTATAAAACAAAATCCATATTTGCCATATTAAGAATCCAATATTAAGAAATTTTAAAGCTAACCTCACTTTCTTTAATTTCGCTTTTAACAAGCTTTCATAAGCATCAGTTAATGCCACGGACTCCGATTCATAAGTGAATGCATGCCTTACTGCTCAAAATAGCTAATTATGCGAAAAATTCCCGATACGAAAATTCGATCTATTTACCTCTGATCTAAAAGGAGCTAGAAAAAAAAATTTAGTCCTGTAGGCCTGTAAATTTAGGCCAATTTAGTCCTGTAGTGGACGTTTTAGCTGCAAAATCAGCTACACAGAATCGCCTAACGCATATTAAGTGTTCGTACAAGCAACCTAAGTATGAAAAACTTACTCCAATTTTCAAATTTACGATTAATGAACTTTTAATCTAAGGTCTGGTGTGCTCATGACAGTTAAACTTGAAGTTCTCCAGAAACATAGACAAATATAGTACGCATAAGCGAGGAATACAATAAGATCTAAAAAGTTCGTCTAGACCCTTAATGTCGATTTAAGATGTAACTACGTTTGGCGAGCTTCGAAGCCATTCCACACCGTACCTATAATAGGATCAATTTGAGCCTGCTGCAGATAGAACCTATTTTGTAAGCATATTGGCATCAACAACTACCCTTCGAAATGAAAAATAAATGTTTAGTCATAATTAGATTTTCTGTAAACAGCACGTTTTTTTTAGTAGTATGTTTATCAAGCCATTTACTTCGTCTATGATTGGATTTACATTAATGTGACATAGAACGGCCATTGTCTGACATGAGTATTAAACAGTTTCACAAACGTTAAAATGCCATTTTGTGATTTCCTTAAATTAATCCCCGGGAGTGCAGCAGACAGAGGTTTCAGCCGTCTCTCGTAACGTTACAAGAGAGCTTGCGTATGAGACGTATCCGTTGCAGAAAGATAAAAACCAACCCCTAGCCTGAACTACGCTTATTTAAAACTAAAATTGCCTACTCTATGCAGAAAACACCATAGATTGGTCGCGTTGAATGCTATATCCCAATAAATCCAGGTTAGCTGTTTCAATTTCGTTGAAATATACCTGATTTGTCTTCTATGCGGGTAAAAACTTGGAAGAGTGATGACTCGATGAGACTGTGATCAATAAAGACTGCCTTTCACATCGCATCAAAACAGACGGCCTATCAAGAACGCAGTATTTTATGAACGAACCGTTTCCACGTAGACGGGAGTACAAGTAAAAATAATCCACTTCATCCGTCCATTGTAGAATATAGATTTACGCCGCCTCAACCAGTTATACATTTTTCTGCTACAACTTATATAGCATTTATACCCTATATTGTTGAAGCTTTAACAGACGCTTTGTCTTCATTAACTATCATTGGTGCAGGTGCAACAACGCTAGTTGATACGGCTGAAACTTGCATCACAGGGTAACATATGATGCCTAGGCAAATTCTAAGTTCTAATCTAGCTTAGCCGTAGCAAAAAAAAATCACGTAGGTTATTTGTAAAGCAATAATATCTCTAACGTTGTTATACTCTGACATTTTTTTTTATGTGTTCAGGATAGCCAAAGGAGTACCTGACCGCTGCAGTTAGATGCGTGTATGAGGCAATCATCGCACGCAATAGCATTGAGTTTCCATTACCCAGGAATCTCGTTGCAGGAGCATTCGTTCTTGCTTTACTCCATTTGTAGGACAATGCCAATGGAAGACGGTCATGGCCACGTTTCGTCATGTAATTCATTCGAGTCTCAATGCTAGCGCAATACGCCAGACATGCTCTCACAGGCGTATAAAGTTTAAAATGTACCACCTGTATCAAATCATTTGTTGGGAAGATCTGACATCATTCAGATGTACACGTCGCGTACTATTGAAGGTCTTCGGTACATACAACGTACAGATATCAGCCCTCGTAACGTATGCTTGTGGCAACATAGTTTATCATAGGGTAAACGAAATTGAATAGCTAGATCTATATCTATTTGATAATGTGCGGGGTTTTTCGTGCTCATTACAAGATAAATGAGGACAAAAAGAAGAAAAAAGTATTCGGTGAGTCTATTTACTGCTGAATCACAACGATTTCTCCAGAGAATCAATCAAATCTAAAATGCTGGATGACATATTAAACCTATTTCGGAGAAAAACTAAATACGGTGTTATTTAGCATCATAGCACCCTTGCAATTATATAGCCGAAAGCGCTATATAGGTACGTAGCTCAACAACTTAAACTAATACTATTTGTCGATAGGTGGACGTTTCGAATATGTAGAAGAACAATAGAACTTCCATATGAACGGCTCCAACTTCAAGCTCAAAAATGTAATGAAAGCTATATATACACTCAAAGTGAGACCACGATCTATTTAGATGTATGGTATTTGATGCCATAAAAGCGTTTTTCATCCTGACCCTCTGGGGACATCTCCAACAAAAATAATAGAGCTACTAGAAGAAAAGGCACATCAAATTTAGAACAGCTTTAATGGGAAAATTCCTATATCATTTCATGATTGTTACTATTTTATGTACCATTGTGAACCTGTCAAGTTAGTAGTTCGCTGGCAGCCGGATGAAGCAAACGTTTTTTTCATACTCATGGATTATTTTACTTCATTACCAAGTGACAATATAGAAACATACTTTCTATTAACTTGCACAATTGACAAAGTAATCACAGGCGTCAGGGCTCATCGTAGAAACTGGGTCCCGGTCACTGTGCATGTAAAAGCCGTGCTGTAACAGGCTCAAACTATTTAATGAGGATCAGCGCCTAATCAGGATGCAGCTAAGTAGAGTCGTCAGCGTCCGACGTCATTCATTACAGAGACGTCATTCAACGTCCTGAAATGTTTTGCTGCAGCAGGTGATGATCGGTATTAGATTGTGCATACGGGTGTATAATTTCGTAACATACTGGCAAAGAATTTAGCCATCAGGTCGTTGTTATCAATTTGACCTAATCATGTTAAACTCCCTTAAACCTAGCAGTTTGCCGGGATATTCGAGTTGCTCGTTACACGGTGCACGATACGGGCAGTAAAAAACCTATTATGTTCTAGTAGAGACTCTTCACCTATTTGTTGACAGTGTGAAACGACTCAAAGTGGTTTCTCAAGCTCACTTTCTATTCCTATTTGAATCATGGCAATTTACAGGCTGCCCGAGATCGATCGCATGCAACAAGCTTGTACCCCCCGAATGTTCACTCTAGACTGTATCATGCGCCAGGGGTCCACTTGTTTCAGAAAACGATAGGATAACGCGCATAGATATGAAGCTACTCGATATTAGTCAAAACATAGTTGTGTGAATGCTCTTAATGTAATTGGTAGTACGTTTTTGTGCAGTTGTTGTCTAGCTGCAGGGCATAGCTATGATCTGGCGGCCTTTTTTTGAAATAAACGGACCCCTTAAAAAAAGAAATAAATGTTTTAATTTTCTATGTCCGGCCTTTAATTTTAGGTGTTGTGTTCGAGGGCTGTCCTACAGTCCGAAGCGAAGTGTGTCTGTCTCTGTTTTCGAGTGTAGACGTCGCGAAGTATTTATTAGACAAACACGTTACTCGTACGTCGTCGCAAGAACGGGCGCACAAAACCCGCTGTGCACAACAATCGGACTTGAAAAGAAATTACAAATTGCGGTATTTTGACTATGGGTTATTTTCATTCCTTCGATAATATTTCAGCCGAAACAGCGCCGGCTTTCGAGTTGACGCATGGAAACCCAGTCAATGTTATCACTAGGACGATCAGTACCTTGTCTATTATATAGCTGAGTCTAAACATATCTAGATGCTGAGAATATGCGATATTCTTCTTGGCGTAGTTACAACATGAATGACCGGGCCTAGCATAGGCACTTCACGCAATCGTTTAGTGTTTACCACGTAAAGTCATGCACCGTGCAACCAGGTCTGCTTTTCTACCC